TCAGTGTTCTCAACCCAACTGGACAAAGAGCACTGTACTTTCTAAAAGAATTCAAAGAGAGGAAAACTCATCTGATCTCGCCCCCAGCCTTCTCTTCTCCAGAGAAAACACTCCTGACCCCTTGGGCTGTTCAGGGGACCTGCTGTTCTTCCTCTTCCCTCTGGCCTCATCATGGCTTTGCCAGGACAGTCAGTGGCAGCCCTTCTACCAACACATCAGAGCAGAAGTGGCGACTTCACAGACACATGTAGCTTGCTCTGGCTGGTGCAGTTTTCCTGCTTGGTTCCAACCAAGGACTCCCAGCCCAGGGGCAGTTTTAGTGAGGAGATGCTACCCCCAACTTATCCCTTCTCCCCAAGTTTTTTTAAAGGGGAGAGGGTGGGTGGTGAAACCAAGATGGCAGCACAGGTAAACACTGGAAATTGCTGCCTCAAACAACCACTTCAAAAATACAACTAAAAGACAAAACGGACATAATCCAGAACCATAGGAAGGCTGGCTGAGTGGAAATTCTACAACTAGAAGGAAGGAGAAAAGCACTGAGACTCAGGAGGTGCGGAAGTAAAGCGCACAGGCACAGAGGCTGGCAACTGAGGACATGGTTGTCTTTTTCAATCGGGAGGGAGTCTCAAGCTCCCGACTGCTCTGAACTCCAGTTCCGGGCGAGTCTCTGAGGACCCAGACTCATACGGGGAGAAATGGGACTGTCTGGCATTGGTCGGAACTCAAGGGCGGCTTTCTCTCAGAGATGCTTGCAGCGATTACCAGGACACTGAAACACAGGTCCTCTTAGGGTAGGACTGAGGATCAGCCATAGCTGTTTGCTCTGCCCTGTTGATCCCCTGAGACCCCGCCCCACCCAAGCTGCAAGCAGAGGCTTTTGCATATGAATGGGCTGGCCCTTTGCAATCTACAATTACATAACAAACTGCAGTTGGGTCAGAGAGACCCAGAACATCCAAAAGAAGGCCCAAGGCATAGCAGCTTGCATTGCTTCACAGCTGGGCCTCATCTGGGCAACTCCAAACCCCAAACAAAGAAGAGGAATCTGCAGATCTCTCCATAGCTCCTGCTGGGTAGCCTCAGGCAGAGGCTAAATTAGCACCTTCTTAGGGATCCAAGAGCCAGTGTACCCAGTGGTCAGAGTGGGACCATCCAGATTACAACTCCTCAGATCCATAAGGAGG